TAGTCGAAGCATGGCAGACTCGCTTTGGCACAGGGATATTCATCGCTCAGTTGGCGCTTGCCATGCTTCTACATACAGTGAAGCTTGGTTATAACGACATTGGTTATAACGACAGATCAGCTACAACGACAAAAAATCCATGGCAGCAGCAATTTTGTATTGATTTGTGTACAAAAAAGATCGGTTCCAACGACAACTCGAATAACGACAAATCGAGAATAACGACCAAATTGTCATGCACCGTAGTGTGAAAATGGGTCCAAATAACGACATTCTCACGACTGCGAAGTACGATGTACGATCGATTCTGGCTTTCACAGCTGCCGCGGGCCGGCCGGGTTCTCAAGATCGTACAGTGCAGTCTAGTGTACATCGACTGTACACTGCACTGCATGCACTGCACACTCGTACACGCCCGGAAACTTCGAAGGAGTGTCGACATGTCGTAGATCTACTGACGGTAAAATACGTGTCCTGTGTACAGCTGTAGTGCGCACTTACCCTCCGTACCTTCCGTATCTTCTGCGACGGATTTTTGCAACATTCGCCATGCTTCTTTCTCCGAGAAATCACTTTCTCAGTTGTCGTTGGACCAACGACTTGGAAGTTCGAGATGTCTTGCCCTGTCTCTGTTGGAAAGCGAAAGCGCTTCTCCTGCGCGGAAAAGTACGCCATTCTGCAGGAGCTGGACAAAGGTTTAAAGCGAACATTCGTTCAAGAAAAGTATGGAGTCGCGCACGGTACTCTCGCTGGCTTCATCAAGAACCGAGAGGAGATTGTGGCCAAAGTGAAGAAAGCGACGTCAATGGATGCCAAGAGCTCTAGGCAGTCGAGTTTTCCTGAGTTGGACGAAGCACTCCTTGTGTTTAGTTGAAAAAGCACCATTGTGCCGAAAATTAATTTTGCCGCGTTTTGGTGTGCATATTGTGTAGGAAATCCCAAGATCGGATATAGTGACAGATTGCAAATAAGGACTTTTTTGGCGTTCCATCTCGGGTGTCGTTATAACCAAGCTTCACTGTACATGTACATACCTGTAGCTGATCGATCCTATTCAATTTTCTGTACCATTTTTGCTCAAATTCCTCACTGCGGACGAAGGAGTGATTTTCCGTACAAATACGGAAAATACGGAAGGTCAGCAGCACTGGAAGGCGGAAGGTGTCCATCGCCACTGTGTCCTTGTTCAAAAGCTTTCAAGACCAGCAAAGCGATTGTATTGCAGATGCCAGCTCCCCGCTCCAAGTCATTACTTTAGAAGATTCAGGATATGTTTACTCACTCGGAGAAGGAAAGCTGCCAAATAAGCGAAAAGCAGGATATAAGCTGCTTTCTACAGGGGTACGCGACTTGCTGAAAAGGAAAAAGCAGTTTCTTGATTTTTCCGCCACATTCCTTTGATTTCCATGGGAACATACAAGTATGCGCAGCTTATATGAGTTTTTGTACGTAGTGTGCAACGGACCTAAACAAGCATCCCTAGAACCACCCTTTTTGGTCCGTTGCACACTACGTATAAGAGTCTACGAGCGCGGTCCAGTATAAGTTGCTCATGAGTTTTGTTCAGTGCACACTGCACATAGCTCACTTGTTGTTTACGTGAATCGTCATGACAACGAGGATGCACGGCCATTTTTGCTGTCCTTTTGTGCTATTCATGACCTTCGACCTTTGTACTTAGTCTTTGGCGGACTGGCGCACCCTGCGCATGCGATGGAGTCAGTGGTTTACTTCCTGCTTTTTTCTTCAGTTCAAACCTTGATTTTGTCGAGGAGCTCGAGATCGAGAAAGAAGTCGTGCACACACCGGCCTGAAGCAATGAATATCTGGGATGACGGTAGAAGGCCAGTGCTGCCAACCAATTGGGTCTGTTTTGCGTACTGCGACTTCTGATTTTCCGTATTTGCAGCGTTTTTCCGTACTACCAATGAAATGCCTTGTGCATTGCTTCTATCAGGGAGTATTGTACTACTCCCTGGCTTGTATTGTGCTTTTTTGAAACTCGCATTCTTGTCGGTGGCAAAATTTGCTAGTGCAAAACATGTGTGACTTGTACCAAGACGTGTTATTCTGTGCTACATCTAGTCGAAGCATGGCAGACTCGCTTTGGCACAGGGATATTCATCGCTCAGTTGGCGCTTGCCATGCTTCTACATACATACCTGTAGCTGATCGATCCTATTCAATTTTCCGTACCATTTTTGCTCAAATTCCTCACTGCGGACGAAGGAGTGATTTTCCGTACAAATACGGAAAATACGGAAGGTCGGCAGCACTGGAAGGCGGAAGGTGGCCATCGCCACTGTGTCCTTGTTCAAAAGCTTTCAAGACCAGCAAAGCGATTGTATTGCAGATGCCAGCTCCCCGCTCCAAGTCATTGCTTTGGAAGATTCAGGATATGTTTACTCACTCGGAGAAGGAAAGCTGCCAAATAAGCGAAAAGCAGGATATAAGCTGCTTTCTACAGGGGTACGCGACTTGCTGAAAAGGAAAAAGCAGTTTCTTGATTTTTCCGCCACATTCCTTTGATTTCCATGGGAACATACAAGTATGCGCAGCTTATATGAGTTTTTGTACGTAGTGTGCAACGAACCTAAACAAGCATCCCTAGAACCACCCTTTTTGGTCCGTTGCACACTACGTATAAGAGTCTACGAGCGCGGTCCAGTATAAGTTGCTCATGAGTTTTGTTCAGTGCACACTGCACATAGCTCACTTGTTGTTTACGTGAATCGTCATGACAACGAGGATGCACGGCAATTTTTGCTGTCCTTTTGTGCTATTCATGACCTTCGACCTTTGTACTTAGTCTTTGGCGGACTGGCGCACCCTGCGCATGCGATGGAGTCAGTGGTTTACTTCCTGCTTTTTTCTTCAGTTCAAACCTTGATTTTGTCGAGGAGCTCGAGATCGAGAAAGAAGTCGTGCACACACCGGCCTGAAGCAATGAATATCTGGGATGACGGTAGAAGGCCAGTGCTGCCAACCAATTGGGTCTGTTTTGCGTACTGCGACTTCTGATTTTCCGTATTTGCAGCGTTTTTCCGTACTACCAATGAAATGCCTTGTGCATTGCTTCTATCAGGGAGTTTTGTACTACTCCCTGGCTTGTATTGTGCTTTTTTGACACTCGCATTCTTGTCGGTGGCAAAATTTGCTAGTGCAAAACATGTGTGACTTGTACCAAGACGTGTTATTCTGTGCTACATCTAGTCGAAGCATGGCAGACTCGCTTTGGCACAGGGATATTCATCGCTCAGTTGGCGCTTGCCATGCTTCTACATACATACCTGTAGCTGATCGATCCTATTCAATTTTCTGTACCATTTTTGCTCAAATTCCTCACTGCGGACGAAGGAGTGATTTTCCGTACAAAAACGGAAAATACGGAAGGTTGGCAGCACTGGAAGGCGGAAGGTGGCCATCGCCACTGTGTCCTTGTTCAAAAGCTTTCAAGACCTGCAAAGCGATTGTATTGCAGATGCCAGCTCCCCGCTCCAAGTCATTGCTTTAGAAGATTCAGGATATGCTTACTCACTCGGAGCAGGAAAGCTGCCAAATAAGCGAAAAGCAGGATATAAGCTGCTTTCTACAGGGGTACGCGACTTGCTGAAAAGGAAAAAGCAGTTTCTTGATTTTTCCGCCACATTCCTTTGATTTCCATGGGAACATACAAGTATGCGCAGCTTATATGAGTTTTTGTACGTAGTGTGCAACGGACCTATACAAGCATCCCTAGAACCACCCCTATACAAGCATTCCTAGAACCTCCCCTATACAAGCATCCCTAGAACCACCTCTATACAAGCATTCCTAGAACCACCCCTATACAAGCACCCCTAGAACCACCCCTATACAAGCACCCCTAGAACCAACCCTATACAAGCATTACTAGAACCACCCCTATTCAAGCATTCCTAGAACCACCCCTATACAAGCACCCCTAGAACCACCCCTATAAAAGTATTCCTAGAACCACCCCTATAGACAAGCATCCCCACATGCACACTGCAGAAGCACTCCCACGAACACCCCCGCAAGCAACCACAAGAACACCCCCACAGATACTCCCACAGTAACTCCCACAAACAGCACACGTACACACACACACACAACTACAAACAACTACACACATACATACACACCAAGGCATTTACTTCAGAGCATAAACAGTAAGCAGTGAGGAAAGTAATTGCTTGGACGATGGTGTGTGTAGGGTTTTCTGTGTTTGTTTTTATTACTATTAACATCCCACCGCACGCACAGACATTGAAGACAAGGTTTGGGCTAGACTGGAACTCACGCGGGGAAATGGGGTTAGGCTTACACCCAGGCCACCACATGGTAGGACGAATGTGGAGGGGGTCGCTAACAAGGTTAGGCTTACACCGCACTTCCACATGGTAGGACAGATGTGGAAGTAGGCTGCTAACGGGGTTACGCTTACACCCGGACATCTGGATGGTAGGACGAATGCAGAGGGGCTGGTAACCTGGAGTTGGGTGTCAGCTCAAAGGCTTACGGGGTGCTTTGCAGCCACTCACTCCATGTGAATGCCACCCAAAATTGAGATTGCTGGGGGATGCGTGAGCCCCAATCTAGCTGACCTTAACATGGGAACTACATGCAAGTGCACAGCGACGTTCAAGGACATAAATGCATTTGAGTCTACAGCAGATAGTGTCCAGAAGACAGGTGCCATCACCTATGCAGGAAGCAGCACGGGAGAGCAAAAGCATTCATACAGAGAGGAGTGCTAGGAGGGCAGTGTGGACCCTCCTGCCGCCAGCAGTGCTAAGGGGGGCAGTGTGGTCACCACAACCTATAAGCGAGTAGTGTCAGGGGTCAGTGCTGTCACTCATACAGCAGATAGTGTCAAGGGGGCATCGCCGTCACTCAGGCAGCTGGTAGTGCTAGGAGGGCGGTGTATGTACTCACGCTGACGCCAGTGCCTTCGCGATTGGCTCCATGTCCGATTCTGACAAACGGACATACGCCATCGGCCGGCCCTTTGGATGACATAAGGTGGCAGGCCATTCCTTCAGGCGGCAGTGGCTGCACCGATACCCAGGCTATGGCTGGTGATCGTCTGGCCAGCGAGAGCTCGGCGGAGTAAGTCGTTCATGTCTGAGGGGCGAAGCGGCTGGCCAGACTGGTAGCGGAAATACGCTCCCGCCACTTGGGGGCGCAGCTGTGCGTACTTCGAGAATGCGGCTACAGGGCAGGTGCTATCGTTGGTGGCGCCGACCGTCACATCGCTGCCCTCTCCCAGTTGCGTTGTTTTGGAGAACGGGATAGCCAGCGTCACTGTGTTCTCCCGGATGCAGACGCGTTCCTGCGTCAGCATCTTCCGCGGGTCGGTGGAGGCATACTCGCTGACTCGCAGGAACCCGTAGTAGGCGAGTGTGATAGCGCTCCAGAGCATGGCTTGGTCCGCTGGTGATAGACCGGAGTGCGGCAGAAAGCCCTGGATTGCACGGAGGTGATGCTGCGTGACAGCACGGCGTTCCTGCACCTGACTGCTCGTGCGCTGGTTGCGGGCGATACCCTGGAGCAGCAGGTCCAGTCGTTCGTCCTGGAACGGGGACAACGTCAGGTGGTTGACCACGCAGTAATGCCGGAGGCCATGGAGGTAGACCTTGATCGTTGCCAGCCTGCACTTGGATGACATGTATGCTAGGAAATCCAGTAGGCGGGTGGCCTGAATTGGGTATGGCGCGACACGGTGCAGCCTGGCGTACCTCTCGGATGCCGTCACACTGGCAGCGTATGACCAGGTGGTACTTGTTGCCACTCCCGCAAGGATGAGGCCCATGGTGTGGTCAGTAGGCGTGTCAGCTGCCGGACTTCTAGCGACATGGGGACAGGAGACGCCTGGAAATGTAGCTTCCGGAAGCTCTCGACCTGCAGCCGGGACAAACGGTCAGCAAGAACGTTGTGAACACCACGTATGTGTGCTAAAAACACAACCATGTTATGCTTCGCAGCCGCTAGCAACGCAATCCTAACAAGTGTCATGATCTCTGGGGTTTCGGCGACACACACCCCGGTTGTAGAGGCGACACTGCTCGGTGGACGAGCGGGCTGCCGCGGAGCTGGGCTGAAAGGGCCGCACGGCACGGGCATCGAACACGGTAGTGGACAGTGTTTGTGGTGTTTTGTCCCAACGGCGTGACGGCTGGGACGTGATGGCGGAAGGCGCGGTCATACTCCGCAACTGCGGAAAACGTGAATTTCTTGCTGGCGTTCAGAATATGGTGCTGATACGCCAACAGTTCTACTGCTCTGCCCGGATGCGCATCCAGATAGACAGCTGCGAATATCGTACATGCTTCTAGCCAATGTGCGATGTCCGAAATGCGTCGGGACATGCGTGGCTGGGAGGACAGCATGAAATTTCCGGGTGCCTCCTCGCCCAACACTAGAGCGTGGGGGCTTGGCACGTCCGTGGCGGTCGGGGGCAACAGTTGTTGTAAATCAACAAATTGGTGTGTGATGATTTTGTCGATCACGGTCTGGGGTGCGCTTGCCCACATTTTTACAGGCCCGTCGTCACGCAGCATGGTGCAGGAAACACTAGACGAATGCACAGTGGACGTACCTGGGGCGGAGGATGCTGTTTGTGCTGCATCTTCCAAATGGTCCAGTCGGTCCATAAACGGTTTCAGGGCAGTCGCGATTGCCACGGACACGGAGGCGACAGGCATAGTAGATTTGGACACGGAGGCGACAGGCATAGTAGGTTCGCGGGTCTCCCTGTCCTCGACAGTTTGTCGGGCAGCCTCGGCGGGAGTCACAGAGGACGCATGGGGTCCGACTTCGGATTGTATAAACCGGGCAAGCAGCTCCTCTTTCTTGCCGGCGGGACTAAGTCCCCATTCCACGAGGTTGAGGCGTAGGTCATGTACAGTGAGAGTACTGAACGCAGGGAGGCCATAGTCTTGAATGGAAAACGCTGGAGGTCCAGGAAACCGACACTTTTGAAAATTTGGCAAAGAGCTAGTGTTGGAGCAAACAGCAAGTGAGAGTGGTAAGCAACAACAGGAACAAAGAACATGAGTGCATGCACATATGGGGTCAGATGCGCTGGTAGGTTCAGCTGCCGACAGAGCTAGAGGGGAACACGCTCCCTCGTGGCGCGAACCGTGCCCGTGTCACGTGCACAGCGGTGTGCGTGGGCAGCTTAACGACAGCGCTACGGGTAGATGTGGAATGCAGTGTGAAGTAGCGGCATCGCAACGGGTAAATATGGAGTGCTCTGTGCAGTAAACGCAGGCGGGCACGCGCTGAGAGAGCGTTACATGCGTGTTAACTACAGTTAATACTACGTATAAACTGAGATTTTAATTCCCGTAGCTATGCAGAAGACGTTACTTCAGTAACGTCTGGCGCTAGCCAGGGTCCACACAGCTTTAATTTGGTATTTGTTTGTGTGTCTGTGTCACGCCTGGCGCTATCCGTATCTGACGGCAAAAAAGCATAGGATGTTATAATTTTTTCAATTCTCCTATTTTTTTTTTTCAGGCATATCCTGGGATTCGAACCCGCACTATCGCCCTACATGCATTCCCCCATACACTTCGCATTCATACCCATTCTTCCAAGTTGCTTCACGTTATTATCTTGCGTTTGAAAGCCCTATTTGAATATTGCGGGCAGCTGTATGTGGCCAGCTGTGTTTGATGGTACGGTACGGGAGACGGTGTCGTATTACGCTCGATCGTACCTGTCCCGTACCTATCCCCTACCGTACCGTGCCATCAAAGACGGCTGGCCACAATGCATATTCAAATAGGGCTTTCAAATGCAAGATCACAATGTGAAACAACTTGAAAGAATGGGTATGAATGCGAAGTGTATGGGGGAATGCATGTAGGGCGATAGTGCGGGTTCGAATCCCAGGATATGCCTTAAAAAAAAATAGGAGAATTGAAAAATTTATAACATCCTATGCTTTTTTGCCGGTAGATACGGATAGCGCCAGGCGTGACACAAACAAACAAATGTATGCGAAGTGTATCGGGGGATGCATGCAGGGCGCGCGATAGTGCGGGTTCGAATCCCAAGTTATGTCTTAAAAAAAAGGATTTTTTAAAAGAATTTTTAACATCCCTATGCTTTTTTTTGTCTAGGTCATGAAGGCAAAAAAAGCATAGCGTAGGGTCTTGAGCTTCCAAGCTCTCTCGTATACACAAACCCAACTCGTAAAAATAAATAATTATGTGGCCAAAAACTAACAGCTACTGAGCAGGGGCTGCACTGGGCAGCAGTGATGGTGAGGTACCAGGGGCTCCACAGACCAAAGGTCTGTACTGTGGTATGTAATGGCTGCTGTGGATCTGGCACACTTTGAGAAAATGCTGTCACAACGAATGTAACAAAAGGGCTATTGTGTGCCGTAAAGGACTGTCCAAGCTGTTAAGGCATCTCTATTATTGGGGAAAGTCTAGATTTCCTGTTGACTGATCCGACTGAGCCAGTCTTACTCTACATAAGAAAAGACGGTGGTTCAGTTCAGTACACGACACTGATCATTAACACCTGCTCCCTGAACACCCCCCCCCCCCCCCATTAATTTAATCCACTCGTCGTATGCTTGCAACTGAATGATTGTAATAAAATGAGTGATAAAAGAGGTGGTTTGTCAACTGACAACTGCACTATCCAGTTGCTATTCATGATTCTCTCTGCTGCATTGGATATTCATTAACTGTAGATGTACTCAATCTGTGGACAGAACTGTTTCGTCCTTTGCGGGCTCATCAGCTCAGCACAGAGGTAATGAGGCCGAACCTTATAGCAATGAAAATAAAATTTCCAAAGCCAGATGTAATTGTAGATGTGAAAAATATGATGTTTCGGGCCAGTCACCCATCAACAGAACAATTTACAAGGGGGTAGGTGACTGTCTCGAAACGTCATAACCTTTACATCAACCATAAAAGAATTTTCATTTGCAGCGCATGCGTAGATCGTGAATAGCAACTGAATAGAGGGATTATCGGTTGAAAAAACTCTTTTTTCTATGATGCTGTTGCGTGATAATCATAAAATTCTGTTTAGACTTCAGTGAAATGAAGTCTAGAGTCAAAGGGACCAGTAAGCTACGAGTCATGATTAACAGTCCACCAAGGCGACGAGACATTATACAGTCTGATAGTGCGACAACAGGCAGGCGCAGTGGTTTGGTCAAAGACCAACATTGAGATACAAGAGGTACCTTGTTGTGCCTGGGAGCAGTTTTCCAGCCGTGCTGCTACCCACTGTAGGCCACAGTCAACTGGGAACTTGTGACCAGCCGCTAGGGTTGACCAGTTTGTTAGCGGCTGTCGTTAGTTCCCTTTGGGAACGGACACGATAATTTACTCATTTTAGTGCGACAACAAGGGACAACACTGACAAGGACATTGAAACATTCAACTACCTAACACTTAGCTTTTACACATCTACCAAGCGCAAACCAACAACCTTCTAACTTGGAAGGCTCAGATACGGAGAGTTACAAGGAGGGAAACTCTGCCTCCCATTTCTCTTTGCTTAAATACGACTGTATTGGCTGAACATCCGAGTTTTAAGAAGTCTAGTGTGAGAATAATTTTATACCCGTATGCATTCATCTACAATATAATCAGTGTAGTGCGCAGTGCAGCGCACTCGTAGGGTGCAGGGCGCGCGCGCGCCCGTGGAGTGCAGCGCAATCGTAGTGTGCAGCGCACGCATAGAGTGCAGCGCACGTGTAGGGTGCAGCGCACGCTTAGAGTGCGGCGCACTAGCAGTGTGCAGCGCAAGCGTAGAGTGCAGCGCACGCGTAGAGTGCAGCGCACTCATAGTGTGCAGCGCGCGCGTAGAGTGCAGCGCACTCGTAGTGTGCAGCGCACGCGTGGAGTGCAGCGCACGCGTGGAGTGCAGCGCACTCGTAGGGTGCAGGGCGCGCGCGCGTGGAGTGCAGCGCACTCGTAGTGTGCAGCGCACGCGCAGAGTGCAGAGCATGTGTAGAGTGCAGCGCACGCTTAGAGTGCGGCGCACTAGCAGTGTGCAGCGCACGCGTCGAGTGCAGCGCACGCGTAGAGTGCAGCACACTCATAGTGCGCAGCGCACGCGTAGAGTGCAGCGCACTCGTAGTGTGCAGCGCACGCATAGAGTGCAGCGCACACGTGGAGTGCAGCGCACGCGTGGAGTGCAGCGCACGCGTGGAGTGCAGTGCACGCGTGGAGTGCAGCGCACTCGTAGTGTGCAGCGCACGCATAGAATGCAGCGCACGTGTAGTGTGCAGCGCACGCTTAGAGTGCGGCGCACTAGCAGTGTGCAGCGCAAGCGTAGAGTGCAGCGCACGCGTAGGTGCAGCGCACTCATAGTGCACAGCGCACGCGTAGAGTGCAGCGCACTCGTAGTGTGCAGCGCACGCGTGGAGTGCAGCGCACGCGTGGAGTGCAGCGCACTCGTGGAGTGCAGCGCACGCGTAGAGTGCAGCACACTCATAGTGCGCAGCGCACGCGTAAGGTGCAGCGCACTCGTAGTGTGCAGCGCACGCATAGAGTGCAGCGCACACGTGGAGTGCAGCGCACGCGTGCAGTGCAGCGCACGCGTGGAGTGCAGCGCACGCGTGGAGTGCAGCGCACGCGTGGAGTGCAGCGCACGCGTAGTGTGCAGCGCACGCATAGAATGCAGCGCACGTGTAGTGTGCAGCGCACGCTTAGAGTGCGGCGCACTAGCAGTGTGCAGCGCAAGCGTAGAGTGCAGCGCACGCGTAGAGTGCAGCGCACTCATAGTGCGCAGCGCACGCGTAGAGTGCAGCGCACTCGTAGTGTGCAGCGCACGCGTGGAGTGCAGCGCACGCGCGGAGTGCAGCGCACCCGTGGAGTGCAGCGCACTCGTAGGGTGCAGGGCGCGCGCGCGTGGAGTGCAGCACACTCGTAGTGTGCAGCGCACACGCAGAGTGCAGAGCATGTGTAGAGTGCAGCGCACGCTTAGCGTGCGGCGCACTAGTAGTGTGCAGCGCACACGTAGTGTGTTGCGCACGCGTGGAGTGCAGCGCACCCGTGGAGTGCAGCGCACTCGTAGGGTGCAGGGCGCGCGCGCGTGGATTGCAGCACACTCGTAGTGTGCAGCGCACACGCAGAGTGCAGAGCATGTGTAGAGTGCAGCGCACGCTTAGCGTGCGGCGCACTAGTAGTGTGCAGCGCACACGTAGTGTGTAGCGCACGCCTAGGGAATTTCACAGAAGACATGTGCGTACATGTACATGGCTGTCTCAACGTTCGTGGACTGCAGGCTTCAAGATAATGTTGGAACCAACGACCGGGGGAAACTCTAGATTTACTCACAACCCCATCCACCCCTCCCACCCCCCTCTTCCCCCGTATATCGAGAAGTTCCAACACAGGAAAATGACGAGGTCCAGGTGGCAAGGCAAAGGATGTTGAACACTATGAAGCTCTAATAATTCTTGGGGACTCGTGCCACGAGAATACAACATTGACGTCATTTCGTATTTATCCTCTTTTAACCTACACTGTAGTTCTAACAATTCAACACACACGTACCTGCGGCAATGAGGACAAGAACTGAACAACACCCTGGACGAATTCGTGAATCTCCTCTGCATCTGGTCGACTGGCCGGTGGGTCAGCTAGACAGCGTCTCAGCAGGTCCTTCAGCGGGTGGCCGTCAGGGATGCGAACAAAGTCCGCGCGTCGCCGCTCCAGCTCAGGTATAGCAACGAGGCTGCCGTCAGCTGCCTGGCGCGATCTTGCTGCGAACATGAGCTCAATGGAGGGCATCACACCGC